TTTGAGGCTCTACGGGCAGTTGGCCATCTACAACTTCGAAGGCGGCCCCTGTCTCCGCTCCGCAGCCCGGAAGAAGTAGGACTTGGGAGCACCGGGTTATATATAGGGTTTAGGGTTTATGGTTTAGGATTTAGGGTTTAGGGTTTGGGGTTTAGGGTTTAGGATAATCTAGCATTATATAGTATTATTTTATAGCAGTATATAGTAGTATATAGTATAAGTAAGGATTATATGGGATGATAGAGGACACTATTTGATTCAGGGTTGAAGGTGTAGGGCAATATAGGACAACATGCTATACTTTCTCAGTCCGCACTTCAGCAGAGTTCAGGACAGAAGCTTCGCGTTTCCCCAGCCGGTGCAGAGCTTCTTTCATAGGGAGTTATGGGGGAGGGGGGGGGTCGGGGGCCTAAATACCAGAAATAAAGACCTAACAAGGCTTATTTAAGGAAGTACACAGTAGTCCCCTACCCCCTCCCCCCTGCCCCCTGCCCCCCCTAACATTCCCTATGATTCATTGTTGTGTCTATCTCTGCGTTTGGGAATTTAGGGCTCGGGCTTGGGCCTTCCATTCTGGCACCTTTCAGAAGGCCGATAGTATACTTGAATGCATACTTACGCCACGCAACATTACGTAGTATAATATACCGAAATAGGGTTACGTTATTAAGAGCACGTCGCAATATGCAATGTACAGTAGCTCGTGCCAGTGTCATAGAATTAAGGCACAACTTCTGGTGATCCCTGAACCCTAAACCCCTAAACCACGAAACCCCTAAACCCCTAAACCCCTAAACCCCCAAACCCCGTAGGCCCCCTAAACCCCTAAACCCCGTAGGCCCCCTAAACCCTTAAACCTCCAAAGCCCAAAGCTGGCACTCCAGGTTTTTCCTCCGCCGACGGCTGAAGCAGACCTGGCCCAGGTCGCCTCCTGCGAGGCCTTGAAGGGCCTCCTTTTCGGGCTACTGTAAGGGCTACTATAAGGGCTACTATAAGGGGGGGCACTATAAGGGCTACTATAAGGGCTACTATAAGGGCTACTATAAGGGCTACTATAAGGGCTACTAAGGGCTACTACAAGGGCTACTATAAGGGCTATCATAAGGGCTACTGTAAGGGCTACTATAAGGGCTACTATAGGGTCTCTACGGTTTGACAAGGCTTCTTTGGAGTATGCCTTCTAGTAGCAGTAGCTCTTAGACTAGTCCCTGTAGGATTTGGGATTTCGGGGGTTTGATTTCGGGCAATCTGCGCTTGGTGACTCGAATTTGGTGCTGTTCGAGCCTAAGTCCGTCTTTCTACTTCCAGAATCCCAGTTCGTTCATCCGAGGCCGGGATGTCCTAAACAGGGAAGGAACTTTGAAAGACAGGAAAGCCCCTCCTTGAATGCATATGTAAAGCATTGCTTCGCATGACATGTGCGTTACGACAGCCCTCGAAGTTCAAGGAAAAGTGCTGCATGTTACACGTTGTTTTTGTGTATG